CTCTGTCATCTGGCTGCCCTGAGTCTGCAGGTGTGAGCCTACACCTTTGCACCTCCTCCCTGAGGAGCACTCCACCTTTTGGTTTTTTTTTCTCTTGAGCAGGAAGAACGAGGCAGGGGCAAGCGTGAGGGTGCAGGAATGGACAGGAAAATTGGAGGGGGCATGTAGGGATAGGAAGGTCTACAATCAGCAGAGCACCCTCTTAACACCTGAAACACATCCTTTTGGTATTAAGTCATGAGGCCTTTGCTGCTGAGGCACATGAAACACAAAGGCACGCGCTTACATACCCTCTTCACTGCCCGCCGTAGCTAGGCCTACCTAGGGAACAGCAAGGAGGTCTCCTGGGGGGACCTTGTCAAGGTTCCAGCACTGCCTGTGCTGCAGCCAACGGGAGCATGTACCAGGGTCTTCTGGAACAGGAGGCACTCGATGTTGTTTTAAAAATAGCAGCTCGAATGACAGATGGAAAAGAAGAGCACTGAACAGCTCTTGTTTGCCAGCCCCCTCCTGCAACATGACAAGGCGCTAGGTTCCTTCTCCCCGCTGTGTGCGTGCTGCTCATGCTGCATACCCCTGTGTGACCCTCCAGGAGGCTTCACGGTCAGAGTTCGCCTTCACATCTGCATCTTTAGCTCATGGCCACCCAAAACATGCGACTCATCTTTTCCCCTGTGTTCTCATGAATTGCTTCCAACTGCCTAAAGTCTCTTAACGTTCAGTCTCATACCTACGAGAATGCTGATCTTCCTGGTTAATGGTGTTGGTGCCTTTTATCATCACAAAAGACACTGATAAAATTACCTTTACCCTTCCTCACATGATAATCCCAAGCAAACATAGCATAAAGGTTATGCGCTCCCCTTAACACTCCTCACTTTACAGCTGCTGTATAAAATGAGTTGTAAAATTTATCTTCTAGCTTTCGTTAAATGCTTTCACATGCTTTAATCACAAACACATAATTGAAAGCAAATTTTTTTTTCACTGGCCTGAAAGGGATCCGTATCAGAACTGAGATTGGAGGAATTTCCGGCTTTCTGTTTGTTTTTTCATACTCAGACTGCCTAAGGTCCAACCTGGAGGTTGTGATTTGCAATGTTTTAATTTCAAGAGCGCCTGAACGCAATGCAGGCCACCTGCTGCCCCGGCTGCTAGCTCCCAGGCACCTACCCAGCCAGCACACCTCAATTAGGCAGCCTACAGCTATTGGTCTGAGCCACAAGTGGGGAAGAAATTCTTAATTTAACACACACACACACACACACACACACACCCCCAAAAAAAAAAAAAAGGAAAAAGAAATTTGTAACAATAAGACCCATACATTCTGCTGCATTCACTTAAGCTGCAGGAAAGCTCTTCGGCACATATTTAAGATAAAGTATGTCCTGAAAAAGGCTCTTGTGTAAGCAAGTGATTTTTTGGAACGAGACCTCCATGACTGTACATAGTAAAAAGAAATGTCTTCGCTGCCAAATCTGAGTCCGTTTGACAATCATGATGGTACATTTTATTGCTGAAATATGCCAGATGAAGATCACAGCAAATACTAAACGTCTGTCCAAAAGCATAACAGCTAGGGGTACCTGTGGCTAAATCGGGCCCACGCTGATGTTTTACAAGATACACTTCACAGGCACTTCAGAGACACGACAGACACCAGACCAAGAGCGATGAGCGAAGACTCCTGCTGTGCCCCAGCAGCTGCCTTCGCTGGGCCTCTGGAGACCACCGCTTCTCCATATGCTCCGTCTGGTTTTGAACACGCTGTCCGTGCTGCAGCGCACGGTTCTGCTCTTCCATGCCACAGCCCCCACCCGCCAAGGCATGCCCCTCGCAGAATCGCAACAGAAAAGGTTTTCCAGTAATGCTCATTTGTCTCATTTTAAATTATTAGTAATTGAAGTAATTAGTAATTAAAGTCTCTTCCACAGCAATTCACAAAGGCTCCTTACCAACTCAAAATATTTTATTTTCCAATTTTGAAGCTGCTTGAACTCACAGCCAACCGTTCCCAATGCCATTATGAAATTCAGTACTGCTCTGCAAGACTACTTATGTACCTGTGGCCTAGACTACACTGATACAAAGCAACATTACGAATATGATAATAGCCATAATGTTAAAATACCTTAAGAATTTAAATTAACCTTTCTCATGTTAAGAATGCATTAGCTGATACCAGTTAATTCTACTGACACACTCTAACGCAGAATGAAAATTTTTGCCTAAATTATTTTTCAAGGGAAAAGTGCAGATTCTGTCACATTAATGCAGTTCAAGAACCTGTATTAATTTCCCAGACTTCCTGCTTAGAAAAAAAGATTAAATATAAAAACAGTTTCAACCACTTCAAAACAATTTGATTTTTCTACTATAATGGGATCCTTCAATTGTTAAAGAAAATATTATTTCTGATCTCAACCAGAAAGAAAAAAACATTTTGTTTAATTCAGCCCCCTTTTCTACTTCCAGATGGTTCACTAGCTGTTTTGAGAATATTTCATTTTCCACCAACTCCCAATCTGAAAACATTTTTTTAATTCAATGTAAACTAAAAATAAAGCCCCACTATCTGTTGGAGTGGGTCCAGAGGAGGGACACGAAGATGACCAGGGGGCTGGAGCACCCTCCCCTATGAGGACAGGCTGAGAGAGCTGGGGTTGTTCAGCCTGGAGAAGAGAAGGCTCCGAGGAGACCTTACAGCGGCCTTCCAGTGCTTAAAGGGGGCCTGCAGGGGAGGTGGGGAGGGACTCTTGATCAGGGAGGGTAGTGATAGGATGAGGGGTAATGGTTTTAAACTGAAAGAGGGGAGATTTAGACAAGATCTAAGGAAGAAATTTTTTACAATGAGGGTGGTGAAACCCTGGCACAGGCTGCCCAGAGAGGTGGTAGAAGCCCCATCCCTGGAAACACTCAAGGTCAGGCTGGACGGGGCTCTGAGCAACCTGACCCAGCTAAAGGTGTCCCTGCTCACTGCAGGGGGTTGGACTAGATGGCCTCTAAAGGTCCCTTCCAACCCAAACTGTGCTATGATTCTATCTGTCTAGCTTTGCTCTGACGGTAAGTTGTATTTGGTACATTATAGGTAAAAGATGTTATTAACATGAAACATTTTCCCAGCCTACACATGGAAAAAGCATTCTTGCTGCATGGATTGGGTATTTGGTTCTAGGGATCAGACTAGATGAGGATAGACAAGCGCTAGTATATGACACTGCACCTCCCATCCCAACAAAGAGAATATCCAAATGCTTACTAAACAAAGTATCATTTTATAAATTACAGTGAGCTAAACCAAAGCAATTGGGTTCATCCAAGAATATCAGGATCATTTGCAAAAAGTAAAACAATGTTTACACAAAACAGAGCAACGGCTGTGAATTGAAAATATCCTGTAATACTTGAAGTCCTACTGGACACCTGGGCAGGTCAGACTTGTGGTGAAGAAGCTGGGGAGGTAAGAATTTTTTGAAAGAGATTCCACAGAATCACAGAACCATTTAGGTTGGAAAAGACCTTTAAGATTATCGAGTCCAACTGTTAACCCAGCACTGCCAAGTCCAGCACTAAACCATGTCCCTAAGCACCACATCTACCTCCACGGATGGTGACTCCACCACTTCCCTGGTCAGCCTGTTCCAGTGCTTGACCACTCTTTCAGTGAAGAAATTCTTCCCAATATCCAATCTAAACCTCCCCTGGCGCAACTTGAGGCCATTTCCTCTTGTCCTATCACTTGTTACTTGGGAGAAGAGACCGACCCCCACCTCACTACAACCTCCTCTCAGGTAACTGTAGAGAGCGATAAGGTCTCCCCTCAGCCTCCTCTTCTCCAGGCTGAACAACCCCAGTTCCCTCAGCCGCTCCTCATCAGACCTGTTCTCCAGGCCCTTCACCAGCTTTGCTGCCCTTCTCTGGACACGCTCCAGCACCTCAGGGTCCTTCTTGTAGTGAGGGGCCCAAAACCACACACAGTATTCAAGGTGCGGCCTCACCAGTGCCGAGTACAGGGGCACGATCACCTCCCTACTCCTGCTGGCCACACTACTGCTGATACAGGCCAGGATGTTGTTGGCCTTCTTGGCCACCTGGGCACACTGCTGGCTCATGCCCAGCCGGCTGTCGACCAGCACCACAATAACCCTTTCAATCGCTCTTATCCCCACGGATGCTGTTAGCACAAGGATCCCGAGTATCATTATTCCCATTTTCCAAGCAGAGAACCAAAGCACCACGTAACATCATGGATCAGTAGCAGCAGACATCTCAGACTCAAACTCTGACTTCTTCCAGGCCAGTGACAGATAATCTGCCATCCTCTATGAAGAACATCTGCCAGTGACATATTTACAAACAGCAACTGTGTATTTACCAAGTTAGGAAGTGAATTGCCAAGGAATGTAAAAAGTCTCGTGCTAAAGAGATCTGTAGGTGGAGAGCTGAGACAGGTTTGAGGATTTCAGAACAAACATATGCAAATGTATTTACTGATCAGAATTAGCTATGGTGAGTTTGTGGCAGAGAGTGAGAGGTGAAGAATTTTAATAGAAGAAGGATGGGAAAATGCTGTATTGAACATATGACAGCAGTCCAGAGTGAAATTAGATTTTAAGAAGTCAAAACAGATGAACAGGAATGATTTTGAATTAACTCAAAATCATACCCATTCTAATAGCTGAAAAATAAAAATTAAAAAAAAAACCCAAATCACATTGTGAGACAGTTTGGCTACCATCAAGTGCTCAGTAACAGCATAAAAGCACACAGTGTGAAATCTTACTAAATTACATAGTAAGGCAACACTCACACCGTGTATGTATCACTGCAGAACAAACGGAGTTATCTTTCCACTAGTGGTCCTTTCAGTCCTACAGTTCACAAGCATTTGTGTCAGAAGTTGCTCCAACATGGACAGTGGCTATTTGTGGTGCAACAATATACCAGATCCCAAAGGCGAGCTTCCAGCTCCTGCAAAACAGGAGCACAGAGGGCTTCTAAACCCTTGGCAAGCTGTCTTCACTAACTGCACCATTCAGGATAGTCTTAGGAGTCTGCTTGTTGTCCCCAGCTTCTTCAGCCGTACACTCCAGAGGCTCTAGGTCATTGTACCTTCTCCGATAGACCACCCTTGAGATCAGGGTTATCAGAAACATTTCCATGATGAGGAGCTGCTGGGTCATATCTGCCAAAAAAAGGGAGGCAACGAATAACCCCCAAAAGGAAGACATTACTATCAGACACAAAATGAATACCTGGCTTATTAATTTTCATCTGTGCAAAAAAACTTTACCCTCGTGTCCCCATAACAGAGTGTCTCTCATACTCGGCAATAAAATCAGTTACAGAATTACAGTATTGCCCATCAATGAGCATGCAGTCAGTTATGCATCCAAAGCTCCAGAGATTTAACAGTAATTATGCATGTTGATCTATTTTTTTCGCATTTCTGATTCCAGCTCTTCTCACTATCAAGTTTCTCTGCGACTACGACAGCTGTAAAACTTCTGTTACTGTTTTCTAAGTAAAAGCTGAGATTCTCCAAAAGCTACATGATCCCAGAAAATTAGTATTTTGGGAATACACCAGCTATCACAGTTAGCAACGCCAAACTGGCACCTTTGTAAGTAAACGAAGAACATCCTTCCCAAAAAGAACTTACATGCTCCTCTTGCTGAAGAGGAGAGCGGTGGAGCACAGGGAATGATTCTTCTCATGGCCAAGATGTTGATAATAGCTGTCTGCAAGTGGTTCAGAATGAGAATAAACTGCACCAGAAAGAGAAAACAGATGCCTTAGCTACCAGAAAAAAGGTGTATAGTTCACACAACAATTCTGCTTTCATAACAGACCCTCTTTTGCCTCCTTCCTCCTTACTTGCCCTCCTTCTCCTCCCATCTACCAGCAGGCTGCCTGCCGTTCTGCAGAATTCATCTTGAGGTCAGGGTGATATTGGTCTGAATGTATTAAATTAAACCTCTGTTTGAAAAGTGTTTCTTCTCAGCCCTTCGTTTGGGAGGTACAATATACACAGACCTCCCAGCTGGGATTTTAAGCAATACTGAGCTCTGAATAATAGGTAACAATGTTTTAAATCTTCCTGTTAATCTGACCTATGAGCTTATGTTCTCCCTTAGTGGAAGAAGGACTCAGAGGACATTTTTTCCTCTCCTCTCCCCTCCTCTCCTCTCCCCTCCTCTCCTCTCCCCTCCCCTCCTCTCCTCTCCTCTTCTCTCCTCTCCTCTCCTCTCCTGTCTTTCCCCAAATTGCCATGTGAAGTGTGTAACATTTACTCCAGGTCAATAAGAGGGAGCCAAAAGCTGTGGCTTAACTCCAGTGTGTTTGTGGTGGATGGCTGGCTCTTTCTCTCCATCCTTCCCTGTCCCTTGATGATGGTGAGTTGTACTGAGTTTGGGGAATGCACCACGGGAATAGAACCAGCATCCACAAAGAGAGATGTGCTTCCCATGGAGCAGAGACTGGCTAGAGGCAGCTAAAGGACTTGGCTGTTAAAACAGTTGTGATAGAAATATTACTTCCTCAGAGCTTCTTCACCAGAAGGGATGAAGGACTCTTGGCAGCTTGGGTTCAGTAACAGTCACTTACGCACCATACTACCTGCTACTCGCTGAGCTAGGCCTTCACCGCCTTGGAGATATCAAAGTGTCTCTCTAGCTGCTGGTGTAACTGCCCAAGTATAAACCCTTGTATTAAGTTTGCCGTCCTAAACCTGGATCCCCCATAATGCAGCTTTGCAGTGTCACCATCCTGTTTGTTGCATTTGTAAGTGCTTAATAATTTACTTAACAGAGACCCTAGAGCACCGGCCTTCCTGCAGGTCCTGTTCAAGAAGTATGCATGTCCAAGGACTCTGAGGTACTCTCTTCAGGGTGATGTGGAAGAGGGTGGCCCTCTCCCTGGGCTTTTTCACTCTAACCCATCTGGTTCTGTTCCTTACTATTTAATGATTCCCAGCCAGTATTTTCATTACTATCTAACTCTGCAGTGCAGAATGGCCAAAAAAAATATTGTCAAAACAGAACATTGTAACATGCTGGAACAGTTCAAACAACAGCCACCCACACAATGCTCCACATCCTCTCCGAGTTTCTAGAAGCAGACATCACCAGTTTAACACTGTGTTGCAGGACACTGCATCTACAGAGCTTCCTTTGAGCCCTGCAGAAGGTCCTGTTTTGATTTCAGTTGCCTAAAGATAAATGGATTTTACACTGCTTTTACATCTCCAGCACTCCTGAGAGACTAGAGGTAAATTGGCTCAAGATGAAACTGAACAGCAGCCAAGGAGAGTGCTTCAAAGGGATGTCGCTTTCATCAGGTAAAAATATGCCTTTGCACAGTGCATTTGATGAGAAAAAAAATACTACAACTTTTCAACAAAGGACCAAGAACCAGAAAGACAGCGTTATATCCGCAGTGAAGAGGAATTCTTATCAGAAATATCAAACTTCTCACCTGATAAAGAGCAAATTTTGGGATGATCCTCTGACAGCTAAGGAGAGTCCTAACTTGTTGGAACATGATGCCAACTGGCCACAGCGCAATAATGGTGAGGACACCAACGAAGCAGCTAATCCATATTGCAGCTCCTTTGGGAGATAACTGAGAAGCAAATCAAACAAGCGTACCTATAAAACTTCACAGTGCATTTCACTGTTTCCAGGAAGGAGCTATGAACGACAGCATGATGCCGATGTTAAGATGCTTGTTTCTGTCTCCATGAAGGCTGATGGCAGCAGCAGTTGCTGGGGTTTGCATGGGGAAACCGCACGGTAGCAACTGGAGTGTTAGCACAGTGCTCTCCCCCAGCAGGCACGGACATGTAAATCTGTTCAGCCTGGGAAGGTAACAAGTGACAGGGCCCCTCAATCTGACCCCAGCAGCACCTGGGAACGCTCAGCAGCTCCTGAGAGCATATTCAGCATGTCATCTCAGAGGGGTCATTTATTTTATACCGTGGAACAACAAAAGAAATTTATTCCTTTTAATATGAGTCATCCAAGAGGTGCGAAATTATCAGCAGTTACAGACTTCTCCATCATCTTGCAGCTTACATGGCACAAAGCAGAAGTACAGTACTATCTTTCCTCCTTTACGCAGATATAAAAATCACCATGATTTGCAGAAAAACATAGAATTAGGCTTCCTGTTTACATGCCAGTACACACACTTGTTTCTTAAGGCTGCACCTTACAAAACATAGGGCAGGTACATCCCACAGAGCAACTTGCAGTCCTGTTATCCTAACCATACAAGCTGGGAAACATATTGGAGCATAATCTGATGCCCAACCCACCCTGATGCCAGTTCCTTTCGAAGAGAAGCCAGGTAATGGAGAGTGTGGGGGAAGGCAGAAATTATATGCTTCAGGGTCTCAAAAGAATACAGTAAGGACTCACTTGAAAGTGCTCCCAGATTTCACGGTTTAGTTGTAGGCTAAAATACTAACATCAGCTCTAAAACCTACAGATTTTGTGGACCATTTCTGATTAAAATACTTACTTACATCGTAAAGGGTGTAATTGTCATTAGTCCAAAGCACTATTGATAAAAACATAAGCACGGGTCGAAGGAAAGCAAACTGAAGGGTGCCCAGCTTCAGCCAGAAGAGAGTTCGCCTGGCCAAAAAAAAAACAACAAACCACAAAAATCACACAGGCCAAGATCTTATCAGCAACTTTAATAACAATTTTTGATACCATCAAATGCAAAACTTTTCCACTCCTGTAGCATGTGGCTAAAATCTCGGGAGGAACAGCTCGAGATTAGAAAATCTTTCCAAAAATTACCCACTGTTTATTTAGCAAAATCTCTACAAAAATAGCACTTGCTCTGTTCTGCAGCAATTGCATACTAACCAAAGCTGGGCAAAACATGATGTCTTTCTCTACCCTGAAGCTAACCAGAGCACCAGTTATTTCAGTTCTCTGATGAAAGTGGGCAACTCGGCCTTTCCATTCAGACACTGCCTAGTGCCGTGGCAGATCAAGGAAGGGAATCACACAGACCTAGGTGGAAGGACTGGTCGTTTTTCAATGCATCACGAATACTGCCGTGTAAGCATCTGGTTTTTCTCCCCTGTGCTCTAACAAAATAAAGGAACTATCTTTCACTGGGCAAACTGCACAAGGCCAGCAGGACAGCTCAGGATTTCCTTACTTCTGTCAGCATAAACTGGGTCCAGAACACAGCCCACCCACAGTAACCTGGCCAGCCAGCATTAAAGGCCACCAGGAAAGAGGGAGATGCACTTTCTAACAGAGGGCATGAAACCCGACTGACCTGAACTCTGCTTCAGTCTTCACAGGACAAGCTGTGGCTCCTACGGCTGCCTCATGTTTTAGTCTATTACTGTGTGTTATTTCCCATACTGTCAACATCGTCTTCACTGTAGCTCCTCAGGCCCTTGAGACTGCCATCAGAGGTGCCTCAGCAGACAACGGGCTGGCATTTAGTACACTACACGGTACAGCCACGAGCCAGGAATCATATATAGCTAATAAACACAGGATTATGAACAGCACAAGCACATGTGGAAAGGCCTGCAACTGCCCAGCCACTTAGTGTGTGTGCCTTTTCAAAGATTTATTATTCCCAAAGGGCTTTAAAGAATAAAAACAGTGCAGTCGCTGCAAGGCCATGAGTTGTTTCCCTTGTCAACACAGGTCTATCTTTCTCGACCGTCAGACCTCTTCTGCCACATCTCTTCCCCATTGTATGGCTTGTTACTTTGCCTCATCTGTCTACTGCACCTTGTTAGCTTCCCCAGGTCTGCTTAAGGGTACATGGTTTTTTTAAAAGAATGAATCCCTCACTTGAAGTAGCTCCCTGTTGCCCCAGAAGACTCCTATGATAAGGATCTAAGTCTGACCTTTCTCTGGTATAGCTTGCTCATATTTCAAAAACATTGTACCCTCTAATGCGAAAAGGCTAGAAGTCAGAAGCAGAGACAGCATATGGGTTTCCCAGCGCTACAGACACCATAGAAGGTGCCCTAAGCCCTCTAAAAGCCTTTTTTCTTCAAACAGACAGCTCTCCTTCCTCCCTGAAGGGTAGGCATTACCTAGCTCCTGAAACGAGTTAATGTTAGCCAATATCATCCTGTGTAAGCTGTCACTGGACTGACCAACAAGAGGGCACAGCAGAGGATCCTGTCCCAGGCTCCCAGATACTACACCCTATACAGAGGGTGACAGACACAGAAAGAAAAATAAATATACCGGTGACATGTTAGATCTATAGCACAGCTCTGTCCCATGGCTTCTTCAGCTCTGACTGCTGAAATGAGCCTGAACCAACGCCCATGAAAATTAGCAGGAGTCATTTAGATCCATACCGGTAGTTGCTGATTTTATGCCATTGTATGTCATCCGTTTTCGGAGGTACATTTTTCCGTTGGTTTACTACCTGGTCTTCTCAGTGCCCCCTCCATGTAAATAATTAGTGTTATTCCATTAAAATAAAATGATGGAAATGAGTTTAAGTTCTAATACCAAATGAGGCAGTTTAAGGAAGAATTATTACAACAAAAAATAAGAATTTTTGCAAATGCATCACAAACCACTGTGCTGCGTTCCGGTTGCCGCTTTCATTTAACCAGACCATAAAGTCCCTAAGGTCCCTCTGACACCAGTGTCCAGACCCTCACAGAAAAATCTCTGTCGTGCACATTCAGTCCTTCAGCTTTCTCTCTAATGAGAGAAACGTTCTCATACTCTGTGCCAGTAGGAAAGCCCTGGGAAATACATGAGGCTTCCAGGCTGTGGAGCTGCGTGTAAATGACAGGGTGACACTAGCCAGAGGAGGAGCCCCACCAGGCAGTGCTCAAAGAGGCAGGGTTTACGTTAGGGTATATTGTCTCCCATAGGTGCAGCTCTCCATCCTCACCCCACTTCTCAAAGGTGCCTTAATACTAAGTTTAGTGGAAGAAAATATTTGCTTTTGTCTCAACAGACTGCCATTTCATTGAGATCAAAGCTTTCCAGGAATTACAGCAATTTTTTTGTTCTAAAAATTGCTTTAATCTGAAGTAGTTTTAAAGTCGAAATCAGAATGAAACATCGCGATTTCATCGAAGTAAGAGAAATTTTCTTTCAAGACAGCCTCAATTTGAGAATTCTGCTTGTGAAAAATACCCAATTTAGAGACATTTGCTCCCTTCTGGAATGAAAAGAAACTGAAATCTCAAGTACTAGGTTTTCTAGAGTAGAAATTCCTCCTCCCACACACCACTGTGTACTATAGAAATGGTTTCTTGGAGGAGAATGGGATTAGCTGTGGAGATACCTCAGTGCTCAACATTACTATGAGTGGGAACGCTGCACTGGGTTAAACTGAGAGCACTCGTGCTCTCAACTCCTATGCAAAATTCTGCATTATAAAAACTAAATAAATTAGTGGTGGTGTTCAGCCCCAAAGTGACGGCACTGTTTAAAAGAGATGGCTTGAGACTGACTTTCGGGAAGCCGGGGGAGGCCCTTTGCTGTAAGCCTGGCCTTGCCAAGTTGGCTGAATTCCAGCAGCCGTTTTCCAGCTGGGAAATCTTAAAGGGCAACTCACCTAGTGATGCGCACACGAGGGAGGCAAAGGCAGCAGCAGCAGCAGGGACCGGTGCTGATCTTGAAGCGATCATTTTCAAACCGCCTGAGGAGCAGCTTTTGACCTCCGCACTCTTTAATCATCATCATCAGGAACTTGTGGATAACTATGGCAAAAAATCTAGGAGAGGGAGAAAATGCCAGCTTGAACTTGCCCATGTGTCTCTCGTATGCCTGTGCAGGCCAGTGCCGCCTTCTGTCCGGGGTTTTTACACCTTGTGCTTTGCAATCAATAAAAATTCCAGCACTGGCTGTGAAAAACCTTCTGCCTTTCTTCACCCTGGAGGACCAGAACTGCCCTAACCTCACCGAAAGAGGAATAAACTGAGGCACAGAGCAGCTGTGGAATCTCCCAAAGCCGCACTGGTGGCTGGTGGCAGAGTCAGTATTAAAGCGCAGGCTTTTCTGGCCGAAGTCGTTGTGGACATATTTTTCCATCAGTTATCTAGTCCTGACTGGTCTAAACTTTTCAGAACAAGTCCTCTTCCTCCTCTTAAAAAAAAAATCAAAATACACCACAAAATCAAACCAGTACAACAACAAACATGGCTAGGTTCATATATACCTGTATATCTATCATCAAACATGCTGGCCCAAGTCAGGGTGCGGTTCCTCTGCAGCCAAAACTGATCCAAGCACTGACTGCTGCAACCCCACCTCTCCCTCCTTCACCAGGTGCACGTTCTCAACCTTTCTCAGGAACTACAGATTGTGCAAGCACCCTTTCCTCCCTGTCCCAAACAGATTTAGGGCACTGATTCACTGAAAGCCAACCCTGCCAAACAAAAGAGTTCCTCTTCACTTCAGCACTTCATCAGTGCTGCCTCCTTGAAGGAGGTTGCTGTGCAGCTGGAGACTGAGTGGTAGTGGATGCAAGTGAGGGGGCGGGAACCTGCAGCTTGGGCAAAGGAGAAGGGGGATTCAGACAGGCTTGAAGTGCCATAGGACTGGATCCTTGGAAGTTTCTGGCAAAAATCTGCACTACCTGTACAAATTGCTGCACACTAGCAGTGTTCCCTGCTACTGTGTTTTCCCTCCTATTTTACTCTGCTCTCCTAGTAAATGTAGTATGACATGGGATGAGCCTATTCATGAGAGTCTGTGACACCGTCCTGCAGTGGGTTCCAAAATCATCCCAAAATCAACTGTGGAGTGTCCAAGGCCACGGCATCCCCCCACCTGGCTCTGCCTACCAGGGCTGTGCCATCACCCCCAGAAAACAAGGACCTCATTTCTCCCTTCTCTGTGCATGTCACAGCCGTCATGCTCATACAGAAAGTGCTTTTATCAGGACAACTGTGGATCATTTTTACATTGATACAATCATCGGAGGTTCGCTTGCCACCGTTAATAATAGACCTCCACGGCTCATCAATAGTAAAAGCACAGAGAAGAAGTCACAGGTCAGAATCTCATTCCACATGACACGCAGAGAGAGGAAAGAAAGAGAACTGCTTCAAAGCTACTGCCAATCCAAGGGATCAATTACATGCGAGTCACAGATCTTTCATACTGAGGTTCCCACACTAGGAGACCGTAGCACTGGGAACTGCTTCAGCATTTTCCACCTCCCAGAAAAGAGCTGCCAAGAGATTTCAACTCAAACCAAAAATTACTAAATTGTTAAATTTACAAAATGACTGTGTTTACCAAGAGCAGCAGATGTTTAAAGGGAAGAAATTCAGGGTTTGGGACAATGTCTAGAAACAAGCAGAATACTCACACTGCTGCTGTGAAATCTGTAAACATTGTTGAGCGAGGAATCCACATGCCAACGCATGAAGTAGTAGCGATCACCTACAGAGAAAGGGAGGGAGGTTGTACAAAGGGCAGAGATAAAGCAGGTTCATGTGGATTTTCGGGGAAACCCTATTTTCAACATTCAATTTTATCTCTTTTCCATGGTAACTTACTGGAGCTGCAGCATTAATCCAAATAATGACCGATCTTTTAGAGGAGGGGATTTTCCTGTGGATGTAGACAGCTTCCTCTATAAACACCAGATTGGCAATTAGCACCATCAGAGTCAAGATTGCAAAGAGAAATCTCCCTGTTAGGTCAAGGCCTGCAGAGAGAGAAAAGAAAACAGACAGTTCTGATTTATTTCATAAGCATTCCAAACATTTAATGTAAAAACATCATCTCTAAGGGGCTTTTCAGCCCTATGCCTGCAAAGACTTGCACTCATCCTTAGCTACATAGATAGACCATTGACTCCACAGGATGTTTCAAATACTTAAACTTAAGTTCATGACTAAATCTTGCCAGGATCCACAGACAGCATATGGGAAGAACATGATTCCACGTTCTCAAAGCATTATGCAAAAGTCCCCTTCAGAAAGGTGGAGTTCTGGGACAAATGTCCTTAGATGAATGTAAATATGTAACAGAATATAAATTAATACATAATACATAATATAGATAAATACAGTAAATACATATTCTGGGAACTTTTCCAGGCAGATTACAAGCAAAAATGTATTTACTCGGTATTAGTTCTTTGCTTCTGTTGTATGTTCATAGGCATGTTTATGCCTAGCTCCCTTAGGCATGCAAACTTTTTAGAGGCTCGGTGGAAGTTTGTGGGGCACGTGAGCAATGAAGGATAAGCCCCTGACATATCTAGCCTGAGATAAAACTTGATGGCTTCACCAAATTATTTTTCCCTCAAAGCTGGATATGGATATAAACATTTACCCACGGGTGATGGGGTTTATGTCTCCCCTGACACTGGGTATGGATGTCAACTGTTACCCACAGCTGACGGCTGAGGTATATTTTCTCCCAAGAAAGGTGCTCCTGGAGACAGAAGAAAGCACTGCAGTGGAGCCATGCTTAACTTAGGAGGAGTTCACGCTCACCACGGGTACTAACTCCCGCCGTGGCCATAGCCCATCCAAAGGCATACCGAGCAGTGCCTGCAAAGGCGAGACTCTGCTCCGGCCTCTTTAACCTAGCCTGCTTCAAAACACCCCAGCGCTTCTAGACTTGGCTCACTCCACATCTCAGGGGACATCTCCACACGGCAGATCTCACCACGGGGCAGCCTGAGAGCAGCCGCAGGTCTGTGGGCTGGTGCGGTGCTCGGTTCGGCAGGTACCGGGAGGCCCCGGCGTTCCCCGCCGACCAGCCTTCCCCGCACCGACCACCCTGTTCTCTCGCCC